AGTAAAGTGATTGGCGGGAGCAGGTTGCTTATGAAGAGACATTCGTCAATAAGAGAAGATTACAAATGAAAAAGAGAAAGAAAAGTTTGCTAACTAAAGTTCTTTCCATAGGAGTAGGAACAGTCTTCTTCCCTTCCATTCCATTCAAAGAAAAAGGGAGGGAAAAGGAATGGACAGAGAGAAAATAAAGTATAGGAACTTTTTTCACAGACAGCAGGGACAATTTCACCTTGAAAGTAGAGCCTGTACTGGAAAGGAGTATCTCTGAAACACTTCCTAGCAGCTGGATAGTAAGAAGTGATGTCAACATTATATGTCATCACTCTCAGAGGGCTGATGCACACCAGTAAGATAATAAGTGACATTGCTCTCAGCAATCAGAAAACCTCAGGATGTCAGATGAGAGCTGCCCTTAACACAGCAATTCTACACAGAGTGGGTACCCCCCTAAGTAGTGTAAGAAGCAGCAGACCCCAAGTCTCTGTCATACCAAAGGCTGTATCCTTTTAGATGAAGCAGGAATCCAAGTCTGAGGCAGGAAGGAAATATCTTAAAGCGGAAGCAGTGGAAATGGACACAGGAACAAATTCTCAGAAACAGAAATAGGAGCAGAATCTCTCTGAGCAGGGCTGTGTGTAATCCCATCAAGAACTCCTGCCTTTACTGGGAATCTATTGGCTCTGTCAAAGCAGAAGAGTCTTCCTTCACTGAAACCAGGTGAGAACTGAAGTCTAGCCATGAGTCAGAACAGCAAGAATGCCAGGTGCTTGGGTTTATATTAGCTCTGGTTGTCTCTGTTGACTGAGTATGAGCATTCAAATAAAGAATAAATTAAAAGTCAAATAAGTAACTCAGAAGTTAAGAGCACTGACTGCTCTTCCAGGGGTCCTGAGCTCAATTCACAGCAACCACATGGTGGCTCACAAATATTTTTAATAGGATCTGATGTTCTATTCTGGCATACAATTATACATACAGAACACTCATAAATAAAATATAAATAAATGATTTTTTAAAAAGAGACAAACCTAGGAATGGAAATAAAAGCCTACTGTAACCTGGGAGAGTTCTCTGTTGGAGCCTGCTCAATCTCTTCTGCCTCCTACCTGGGTGTTGCATGGTGTTGACTTTAACTGACACTAGAGAAAAACTGCCACTGTGTTAAGGAAGCTTGAGACTTTATCTGGTCATCCAGGCACTCATCCTGGCAACATACAAGAAAACCTCCATTTGTGTGTAGAGTATGCTGATTGTGACTGTAGGTTGTCAAATATAGCCTGCTGTTGATTCTTTCCAATCCTCCCACGTGTGTTTCAGCATATGCTGTGAGTATATGATGACCCAGCACAGTATCTCATGTCTCTGTATCTGTTATAGCTCACTAAAGAGAAACTTCTTTAGGTAAGTCCTAGCAATAAACCCAAATATCATGGAGTATATTATAGTTTCATAGTGGTAAAGAAATAATTTAAGATTTACACATTTTAAAAGAAAGATTGTCAAAATCTACTCACACTTTCACCATTTGTTTTTTGAAAATAAATGTGTATTTATTTCATTGGGGGGAGCACATAGCCTGCTTGTCCATGGAAACAAGAAGAAGATTCCTGGTATTATTTCTTAAGTAACTTAATCCTTTTAAAACTATTTTTATATTAATATATATATATACATATTATCTTTAGAAAAAAACCACCCTCAATTGTCTAGACTTGAATTCTTCCCCAATATCCACTAATGTACTATTCTAACTTCATAGGCTCACTTCTTTAATAGACACTCTGTCCATTCAGTGCTGTCTGTGTGTACATAGATGGGTGACCACCTACTAGAGCATGAATAGCCTGTCAGGGCAAGTATCTCTGAATAAACCGACTCTCACTCCTCCTGCAGTCAATCAAATACACCAACTTCTCAAATATTTTGTTTGGCCTCAACACGTATGCCTCTGGCTTTGCTGGGATTTGGATGCCTTGTTCTAGCACAAGAATTGTGTATATAGCCCCAGGTGTTGGGAGTTTATGTATGCAAATGTGCTGTAATGTTCAGCAAATACTGTTTCAGTGCACAAGTCTATCTCTTGCTCTTTTGAGATAACATTTAACACTGGAATGAATTTCACTGTTATCTAGGATAGCTGGCCAGCATGACTGCAAGGTCTCTCTGTCTCTAAACTTGAAGTTCCATGATTGCTTGCAAAGACTAATATGTCTGTTTTTAATATGGAATCTAGAAATAAACTACTGGGTGATCATAACTGTAAGTCAAGCACATGGATGACTGAGCACTCTCCCAGCCTTGTAATTTTTGAACTAGAAAGACCAACTGAATATAATGCAAAAAAGTTTCTCTGCTACTCACTACATGTAACTACCAATATTTCTTCCACCCTATCTCTGATTTGTCCTCTGAGATACTGTTCTAGTGTTAATTTTAGTTTTTGGATACAGAACTGAAATCGCAGGGAAGGGGAAGGTGTCTGTGCTGCTCCCTTGTGAACTACACACATGTATGGAACAAAGCAAGATGGATGCCTCACCTGTACATTCCTTCTGACACATTAACCAAGCCCTATCAAATTCCTTATCTACATTCATTCACTTACTCAATAATGTCCCACTTCGTTTCATATGTAAAACAGTGTTTTATATGAACAGGTTTCTACTGTTCAACAGGAATGCCATTCTTCATTGCATAGAGTTTGTCAATATAGTTAATGGGGGAAATTAATATAATTTGAAGTAATGTAATTAGGTCTTCAAAATTATAAAAACAGAAGCCAATTATAACTACTAGAATGAAATAATTATATAAAATAATTAATTGTAAGGATTATTTCACTCACCTTCCCCAGTATAATTTGTCCCATTGTATTACTGTTGACCATACCACTTTCCAGTGCACCCCACCTCTCCTGGCATGCCATTCCTGTCCCTCTTTTTGTCCTCTCACTCTGTCTTTCTGCTCTCTTGATTGCCTTTTTCTTTATTTCCATGTTCCCTGCACCCTTCTTTCACTGTTTTAGATTTTACAAATATGGCAATGAAAATCTCAAGGACTTCAGAAAGTAGCCTTCTCATTCAAAAATTTAAAAAAATATATAAAACCACAAATAAAAACGATTTGATCAAGGAAATCAGAAAAGACAGGCTCTTTGTGGAGGAAGGAGTTAGGTAAATGCAGGAGGGCAAAATAACAATAGAGATATCTGAAAAGTCATAAGTAATCAGACTATAAACTCTTTAACTAAAAACTATTATATATGAATATATGGATATATATATTTTAAGTGAACTTTTCTCATCTGATCTGGCATTGCTGCTTCCACCAAACAACCCCCAAAATAGGTATAAGAAGCCTCTTTTGAGTTGCCATTTAGGTCTGTCCAAGAGATTCCCAAAACATACAGCCTATTTCTAATGCCTGTGATTGGCCCCCAGAAGTGGAAAGTAAGTCACTATTACTGAAGACAACATACACTTCAGACACAGGCTCTGGTTCCCTGAGCTGAAACTGACCTAAATTTCTCCTCTCTGAGGTCTAGCTTTCATGATACCAGAAAACGCCATGCAAACTTTTAAAGGAAGGAAGCAATCAGCTGTGACACCTATGAGACATAACAACCACCAGATGGCACAATAAACCTAACAGTGCAGCTGTAGCATGCACACTTTAGCAGGAACCAAGAGCTCTTTAATTGTACTTAAAACAAGCTCAACTTGGAGAAATCGATACTCAGTACTGGGACTGCTGAGTACTAATAAATTCATTGTTCTTAGAGGGCAACCTATTAAAATTTTCAGCTTTAATAAACAAGCATAATCCCTAACATCAATTGACACGGTTTTCCCTATGCCTACATATATGTGTACTTTCAACCATTATGAAGGAAACTTCTCTGTGAACAGAGGGGGACCAATCAAAATAACCAGTCACATTATATACACCTAGAAAACATTACTCAACCTAAGACTAAGGGAACATTATGGTATAAATCTCAGAAAATTGTAAAATAAAAAGAAATATGGGGTTTTCTGTGAGTCTATGAATCCTAGGATGTTATATTTGAATGATCTTGTTGAGGGATATTCTCTTGAGAGATATGAATGAATGTGACCCAGGACAGAACAACAATTACAAAAACAATTGAGTTGAGTGATTTCTGTTACTGGATCATGGGTTACATAAAGAGAACTAGCTGCATTAAAGACGCTTACCAAACAGTGGGTAATGATTCTGGGAAGGTGCAGAAGAGGAGAATACTGCCATAACAGCAGGCAGCATCACTAAAGTCACCTTTCCCCAAACAATTGTTCACTGTTAATAATTGCTCAAAGTACGTTCATGAAACTTGCCAGTATCTGAATGAGGTCTGAATGCTATGAGCTTTCCTCCTCCTAACATGTATGAATGTCTCATTCAGAGGAAAAAACATTGAAAAGAAATATTCTTCATAGGTGATATAAGAAGCTACAAAAAGGCAAGAAAATCAATGGTCTTCTAGGTTTTTCTTTTTTTTTCTCTTCCAGGATCTTACCTCAAATTTAGCAAGAGACAAGGCAGTGAGAGTGTGCTGGTATGTTTTAGGACTGAATAAAGTAACTATGTATAGATCCCACAAACTTAATTTAGTTGTATACAAAACATAAACTCAGTTACTTTGGGGGAGATGACTATACTGCCAAAATGTGTCATTGACATAACTGTCAACCCTTTTATTTTGTGAATATATGCATGCATTTCCATCCATGAGTTCACGTTTCATGAGTAAAGAAATGGAGCTCCAGATATTACACTCTGCTCTACACTGATTAAACATGCACCAGTGTAATATCAATAATATAACACAATTTAATACTTTCTGGTTATATACTTCAATTAATAATGCATTGTTACAGTTATAAACTATGTTATCACCAATGATCACAATTTTGTGTTGTTTCTACATATATTTGAGTATCAACTTACCCTTTATTGTGAAATGATAATAGCATACTCACAATTGATGTCATTTCTCTGTCTCCTCAATCTTCCTCCACATGGTCCATCACCTCATCCATTCTTTGTGACTACTCTTGAGTGACGAGCTCCTTAAAGAAAGTCAGATACAACCTTTGATTTGCAGAAATGAGTCTCTTAATCCACAAACTCTTGAGTCTGTTCATAAAACCCATTGTATAACTCTTAGATACAGTATGGCCACCTGAATGCTTTTTTGTTGTAGAATATTATTTTAAGGTGTGTTACTTTTGTTTAGGTTGCATTTGTTGAACTCTGTGAAGCTGTGTTACTGTGCCAATCTAAAACACCTGATGGTCTAATAAATATGTGAAAAGCCAATACCAAGGCAGGAGAAAGGCTAGCGAGGCTGGCAGGCAGAGAAAATATATAGAAGGAGAAATCTGGGAGGGGGGATCAAAGAAGAAGCCAGAGAAATACGAGGACATCAGAGGCCAGCCACCCAGCTCCACAGCCAACCATGGAGTAAGAAGCAAAGTAAGTTATTCAGGAATAGAAAAGGAAAAGCCCAGAGACAAAAAATAGATGAGTAATTTAAGTTAAGGTAAGGATAGCTGGCAAAAAAACAAGTTAAGCTAAGTCCGGGCATTCATAATTAAGACTAAATCACCACATGTGATTTATTTGGGAGCTGGGTGGCAGGCCCCCCAAAAGAGCAAAAACAAACAACAACACTTTTATGCTTCCTCCAGTCCCACATTGAAAGAGAAGTGTCAGAGAAGGCTGTGGGCTGTGGGCAGTAATAAGGATTTGGTATCCCATCATGTAGATGAGCTCGTCTAGGTCTGCTCCATCATCCTAACTGTGCATTACTTGTCAGCGGGCTTCTCTCCCTGCTCTAAGATTTCAAGAGAAAAATATTTCAGTATTGTTTACTTTTGAGTGTCATATTTTTTCAGTTGATCAAACAGTCCTGACCTCATGTTCTTTCCTTGCTATGGATCCCAAGAAATGGAAACAACAGGACGATGAATAGACCAGAGGCCCTACAATGAGCTAATGATATTCTGATGATAAAATGAGCCTCCTGTAAGAAAACCACTCTTTCAAAGCACAGGCAGTCAGGAGTAAAATGGTCCACAAGCAAATACCCTCCATCAACTTTCATAATGAACCATTAGGTGAGAGACTGAGATAACTAACAAACATGATCAAGCCTAATATTGATGAATACTTCTATCCTTTATTTGTATGCATAGCACTTTCTGGCAACGTAAAGTCTAGTTAATAAGAATGAACTATCTACTTAGGTACAAACTCAATTTCTCCATGTTTGATGATGCAAGTTAGGTGTTATTTTTAGCAAAGAGCCTTTCTATCAGGTTGTGGATTGTAAATAATAGCTTTAGCAATAGTAAATCATGTTTCAGGTGGGGATGTATGGGAGCTCCTTAACCAGTGACCCATCAAGCTGGTTAATTTAACCCATTCCTAGAGGTTTACTTGGTGGCCTGTCTAGCTGGAGAATTGTTCCCTTTATATATGGCAATTGCCTTAAAATTACTATCATAAATAAACATATTTTGGGAAGCTTCTACATTAATAGAAATGAACAAAACTTTCAAAGTTGCAACCCACTTACAACTCCAACACTGATAAAGAGTGTGGAAAAAAGTCCCAGTCCTAATCTGGTACATATTTGCAATTTACATGTGTTGAGAATGAGAAAATCAGATTTCTCAAATGGAATCACCAAAAATATCAACTATAATAAAGGGATGGCTCCATGCTCAAGAGTAGTAGGCTAACAAAATGGAAACTGTGTTTTTGATCCTTTGCTGTTTGTTTTGTGTCTGTTTTGTTGTGGTATTTGATGTTTTGTTAGGTTTTCTGATTGTTTTCACTTTTTTAGGGAGAGAGAGAGAGAGAGAGAGAGAGAGAGAGAGAGAGAGAGAGAGAGAGAGAGAAGAGAGATAACATTAAATTGGGTGGGGAGGGAGATAGGGAGGATCAGGATGGAGTTGGGAAAGGGTAATATTTAATCAAAATATACTTTATGAAAATATTAATAAGGGGTGTTATTTATAATATACATGAACAAGTAAGATTCTATGCATGGAATATTTACTGAGAAAGAAGAAAGAAAATTCAGAGCAGCTGAATATGTGTGCTGGAGAGTTAACCTTGTAAGGAACTAGACAAAAGGAAACATATCTTCCCAACACTGGAAATAAGAACACTCCTGTAAATTTGACTGTGCCTAATACTGCCCTGTTCAATCTGTTCTGTGCAGGAGTAGTGATCACACAGATCACTTTGTCTTTGTTCATTACAGAAGCCAAAATACATCCTGATCTTGGAAACATAAATAATCCAAAAATGCTGTTAGGCCTAATAACATCTGCAAACTGTAAAGCATAACAAAATATAAAACTCAATGTAATTATTTACATAAGTAGTCAATGATCAAAGACAAATTTTGCAAAGCAATTGATTTTACAATACCATAAGCTGAGAGTAGCAGTCTCCAGTGTGACCTTCTTAGGATGCTGAGAGGAAGCATGGGGTCACTTGAGTTGCAACTTCACTGAGCAGCAGTCAGACTCTTTATCAGAAATACCTTTATCAGAAAAACACATTCCTTAAATGATAAACAGGGATAAATGAGTGTAAAAATACCTAAAGCTACCAACATGCAGTTAAAGTTATTAACAACACCAATGTATTTTAATGTCACAATTCATAGACTTTAAAGTCAGGGATTATCAAAGCTATTACAGACTAAGGGTATCCCCATCCAAAGACAAGGCATCTTCCTTTTTTTTCAAAGACAAAACTCATCTAAACTTCACAAGGAACTGCCATAATGTAGCTAATGTCAACACAATATTCAGATAATTAAAAGTCATGATGGAAAACGTGAACTTTTGATCTGTTTCAAAACTTATACAAATTAGTTTCAATAAAGACATTTGTATATGGTAAAATAGTTAAGAATAGATTAGTGAACACTAGGTCGATATGCTATCTTTTATTTTTGACAAGGAAGAACACCTACTTCTAGTTGGAAAAAAATAACATGAAATGTAAATAAAATCCAGATTTTCAAATATGGCCAGCAAATCTAAAATTATATGAAATTCCATCCAAATTTACACATAAGAATCTAACAATGGAAAATGAAAAGCAAAAACCCCTGCATTTACAATACCACCAGCTAGGTGTGGGGTCTGCATCTTCAGTGAAAGCGCCACAGGAGACAGGGGAGAAGCACCTCCTCAGGGCCTGAGTCAGAGATTGTCAGTGAGCAGTATAGTGAGACCCTGCATCAACATCATAAAAGGAAAGCAAATGTTTGGAAATAAATAGAGAGTAATTGTAAAATATGTACACTTAGGCAGTAAATCATTTGCATATTATTAGTAATATTATTATAATGTATAGCATGTCCCAAATTCCTTGACAAGAAATCTTAACATTATTATGAATACAGTATTTACAAGGAATGTAGAGACTGGGTGCAGTAGCTATCCAGGTTCCCATGCATGTAATTATTTTGTGCTAATGATCAAAATAATTGTAAAATTTATACAGAACATCAAGAAATCCAGTATCAATGAAATTATTCCAAAGTAAAAATAAAATCAAAACATTCAACATCAATGAAATTATTACTAAAGTAAAAATAAAATCAAAACATTCCACTCATATGTCCTTGTTTTTTTATATTGAAAATATTCTTCTCTCATACCATACATCCCGACCAGAGTTTCCTCTCTTCCCAGAATCCTTCCTCTCAATGTCTCCTGTTCCCCAGATCCAATCCCCCTCTGTTTTCCTTCATTTAAGAGCAGGGTTCCAAGACACAACAACCAAAGAGGACAAAACAATATATGACCAGACAAGGCAAAAGCCCCTCATATTGAAGTTGGACAAGGCTGCCTAATAGGAGAGAGGAGTCCCAAGAGCAGGCAAGAGGGTCAGAGACACACCTGCTCTCACTGTTAGGAATTCAACAAAAACACCAGCTAACGGCCATGACATACACTCAGACAACCAAGTGCAGACCCTTGAAGGCTCCAGGTTTGCCACTTGAGTTCTGGAAGCCCATATCAGACCTGATTACTGATTCAGTGGGCTGCATTCTCCTGGTGTCCTCCATCCTCTCTGACTCCTACAATCGTTTCTCATCCTCTTCTGTGGGGTTCCTAGAGCCTTAAGTGGAAGGAACCAATGGAAATCCCAAATTTAGAAACTTTCTCTGCATAACATCTGGCTGTGGGTCTCTGCACCCACACCCATATTTTGCCAGAGAAAGCCTCTCTGATGCCAACTGGACAAGGCATTGATCTGGTTTCAAAACGCATGACAGTGTGACCATACACACACACACACACACACACACACACACACACACACACACA